GTGAATAAATCAAAAATTAATTTAGAATCATATCATTAAAAATAATTATTATTTCAAAAGAAAAAATAATTCAAATATAAAAGATAAAAAATTAAAATGAATATGTTAATAGATAAAAGATAAAAATAAATATAAAAATAAGATAAAAAAATATAATATCATTTTAAATAATTTCTTTAGATCACTAATCTCTTCTATCTTTTCTTGGAATTCAGGCTAGAAAGCTTGTTTTTGGAGGATTGAAGTCCATAGGTCGAGCTTCGGGAACTCTTCTTCCTTTTTCCTCTTCTTGACTGTTGTGAGCCAATGAGAATATATTTACTATCATATAGTTAAATAAAAATAGTTCTTAATGATAAATATCTCACATGTATTATTATGATACAATTTTTTCTTGTAGTGTGATATTTCATATTATTTTTTGTTTCATCTTATTTACACAATTTTTTTAAGGATCTATGAGAAAAAAAATAAGAAATTAGAAAACTAATATGGCATCCAAAAAAATGTTACATTTCTAGAGTTGAAAATGAATATAAAAAAAAACGAGAAAAAAAAATGAAACACAGTCAAATGGACCAAACGTAAAAAAAGAAGAAAAAAGAGGAAAACAAATACTTTCGTACTCATGATATAGAGTTTAATATTTTATCTTCATAGTCGCAATGCTTTTACTGAGAGGGGGAAAAAATCCCCTTGTATTTTATAAGGAAAAGAAAATGAGATAAAATATGTAAAAAAAAAAGGAAGAAGAAAAGTTATAACTGATTGAATGGGATAAAAAGAAGGATTTAAGAAAAACTAGATTTGTTATCGGGAATGGAGTTATTTTGTTACTCACATGATATTATGTGAATTATAAAGATGATGAGAATATTTAATATTTTTTTATAAATAAAAATATTAGTTAATCTTAATTTGGTTATAATCAAAGAATACATGAATAAATATGTTATAAATTATATGTTTTTGGATTTGTCTTTTCTAAAATGATGAGAATATTTTAAAGAATAAAATATAACAATGTTGATTAAAAAATTATTGATTGAAATAAAATTAAATATATAAATAATAAATTTTATAATTAATTATAATATTTCTCGATATTTTTTTTAATCAAAGATTATTATTACACCTTATTTTTAAGGTGAAATATTTTTATTTTAGATGAATCAAACTCATTTTTGTATATATTTTTTAAATTATATTTAAAGATTATTTTAAAAAAGTATTTATGTATTAGTAGCTTTTCTATGATATGTACTAACAACTAGGTGTTTTTTATATATAGGACATGGCTGAATATATATATATATATATATATATATATATATATATATAT